TTAAAGTAAAAGAGCGTGTATGTGTGCTTAATTGGTTCAGCTGGTTCAGCGGGTTCAGCTGGAGCTGCTGGGGCCTCTCCCTCGGCTGGTGCGGCGGGTGCCTCCTCTGCTGGTGGTGCTTGAGCTTCATCTGCCATTTTTAATTGGTTTCAACTGTAAGAGTTTAAGAAAATATTTCTGTTAATAATTCTAATAAAAATATTTGTTCACATTTTTTTTATGTTTTGAAATGTAGCAAAGAGATAAGAATTTATAGCTTTACGACAGTTTATCATAGAACTTAAACGTGCTAAATTGATAACCTGATAATTTTACCATAAAGTGTTAGCACTTTTTTTTCGTTTTGGCCATATATAGCAAGCATGCTTGCTTTTTTTGCTACGTAATTGTCAATCAAGTAGAGAACCTTATATGGCATTTGTTTGCTTGTTAGGTATGGTTTTGTTATCGCTAGATTTATTCTAGTTCCTGGACTTATCAGTAGATCTCTCAAGCAAACACATATTTTGAAAGTTTTGTTGAAAACGGTAGGTTTATCAATTCAACATGAATTTTAATAACAAAATTATTAATATCAAAATATTAATTATTAATAGTAATAAAAATTATGTGCTTGCATTCTTTTAGAAAACGAAAAGAAAACAAGCAGGTTTTGTCAAGTAATTAGTGGGCTTAGTATAAGTACGGTGAGAATGAAGGTTTGTTTTTGAGGACCTTAAAAAAAATAGTTATTTCAATAATACTCTGTTATCAAAATATTCCTTTAAGGATATGGTATACAGAGAGTCATATGACAAATAGTCACGGCAATTTTACGCTCTTTTTGGTCAAGACCAAAAGTCATGTTATACGGAAAGTCATATCAGAATAATCAATTTTCCATTTTTATTATCATTTTGGCATTTTTTTGTGTCTAAATTGAAAATATATTTATTTTATTTTTGTGCAAATATGCTAATATATTTAGATAAAAATACACATGTTTATTTTAAATATGCGCAGATTCTAAACAGTGTTACTGAGCAACACTGTTTTGAATGTGACGTGACACAGAGAGCCTCGTCACTGTGATCAAATTTAAAACTAAACTTCTCTCTTTCTCTCATTTTTGATTTTTTAAAATACACTGAAAACAAGAACCATTTTAAATTTGACGTGACCATGACTCTATATAAAAAGGCTCTAAGGATTTTATATGCTTTTTAATTCATGGGTCTGAATTAACTTTCGTTTTAAAACCTATTTTATTAGAAAACTTCCTATATACAATGCAGGAAATATCAGGATAAGACATAATTGCAGGACTACTTGGTATCCCAAAACAATTGAAAATTTATATTAATTGAAAGTGTATTTCATATGATCGCCTGATTTATATAAAATCATTAAAATAATTGTAGTTTTATATAAGTTAATCTATTTGATATTTTGTGATTTTAGATAATAATTCCCTTTACGAAAAGTGAATTATTCACTCAGTTTGGTTGCTCATTTGAGGAAGTTGTGGGTCATTAAGCGAAGAATTCTTTTAGTCGACTTAGATCTTTCGTTTATCTACGTTACGAATCTTAAAGATATTTGCTGAATTGAGAATATCATAAAGAGTTAAGCACAAAGAAATTAAATTCCCAAATATGCAGATATCGTCTTATGCCTTTCTTTTTTATTATGTGCCATAATCAATTTTAATTAAAGTAACGGCAACGGCAATGGCAACGGCAACGGCAGCGGAAATGTGAGATATTTTTAATGATATTTGTAACGCTCAGCAAGTCTCGTCGCTATACGCCTGCTTATGTGTGTATGTGTGTGTGTGTGTGTATCAGTAGCCTTGTTATGCGCATCCTCCCACGAAACTGCACCCATTAAAAATATTTTTAAAGAAATTATTATCTTTCGCTTTAAATGAGTAATTGCTGCGAACTTGGCCACAGCAATTTGAGGTTGTCGAAGATACTTGAGCGATTGTGGAGCAGTAGACGACTACGACGACGACGACGACGATGAGAAAAGTATTTCAGCACGGAAACTGCATGGAAAGGGCGTTGGCGCTAATTTGCTGCTCCATTGATTTCGCGCGTAACTGCAATCGCGACACAGAGCCGCACTGCGTAGGATTTCTATTTGAAAGTCAACAGTGAAAACGCAACACAAGATTGGAAGCTAAAATAATCGACTAAGGTTTTATGTAGGCAGCGCAGTTAAATTAAGTGCAGTTAATATATGCATAAAATGTTTTTCCTACTCTCCTACTCTTACAGTTTTTAATACGGCATTTGTGCCGGCGAATTGACACTGAAAAAAGTAACCGGCAAATAAACTAGTTTAACTTGAATTCCACTGCATTTCGCAAAAATGGAAAACCAAAAAAAAAAAAAACCAGTCAAAAATTACGAACTAAAAGCGGTAGAATTGTTTTTGCTGGAGTGTATGTCAGATTACACCACTAAGGTGATCTTGTTTGGATTTTTGTTTAAGAAAGATTTTTGGTCCTTTTCACTCTTATTATTTCCAATCCTTCTGTCACTTTTGTACTTCAAAATTGTTACGTTGAATTTATACTGGTTTCTTTTTCAACTTTTTCTTCTTCTTCTTTTAAATATTTGCCTTCCATACTTTTTGCACGCGTTGCTTCCTTTCGCTGTTGGCAACTAGCCCATTCAGTCAACTACTTTCAGAGCTTTATTCCTTTTCTTATTATGCAAAATTGCTTCACTTTGTTGTTGCTTTTGTTGGTGGTGGTGTTGTTGTTGTTATTGTTCTTGTGTTGCGTTTGTTCTCAAATTGCAAACAACAAAACACAAAATTTCTTTTGCGAATTTGTCAATTAGCAAATGTTTTTTTTTTGATTACTTTTTTCTGCTCGCAATAGAAAGTTTAAAAATTTAAATTTAAATCTCAATAAAAGCAATTTGACTATAAATTTGCATAGTAAATTGTCGTAATTCGATTAAATTATATTTAATTGAATTTATTTATATTTTATGCTAAAAGCTTTTCAGTTTTTAGATATTTTTTTTTTAAGCAAACCGAAGCATTTTAAATGTGTGCGAAACGCTTAAATAGTTCAAAGCAAAAAAAAAGTTGAATAAAAAACACTTAATAATATTCGATTAGTTAATATCGGAACTATTTTTAGTTAATCGTTGGATTTTTCTTGGCAATTGGAGACCAACACATTTATTTTGTTAAATTATTTTATTTAATTTGATTTGGAATTTGTCGCAAACAAGTGGGAATGCAGGCATTTCGTTGAGAGGTGAGTTTGTTTAGTAGGTTTCTGGGTCAAGGACTACAGATGAATTGTTGTGTTAGAATGGAAGTAAGGCAGCTTGTTTTTCATTCTTACCGTAAGTAGAGTTAATATTATATTAATCATAAAGGATAATTGCTCAAATCGAAAGAATAGATGGTTACGTTTAAAATTGGGAAACAGGTCCTAGCTGGACTTGTTTCTACATTAATAATTCGAAATTAATCATCATCATAATTTAATAATTGTAATAATTTAATAATTTTAATATCTCAATAATTTAAGTTGTTTAATAATTATAGTACTAAAAATTCTAAACAAAATTATGTTAGGTGAATACTATTAGTGACAAATTCACTTTATTAAGGCCACTAGGATTCATTCTGCGATTGTAGGATTCTAGCTGACTTTCTACTAACTGCTACATTGTTTAGTATATTTGAGAAATTTGTCTATATACCTTATATATATTTGTTAGATATTGTAGAAAATGATGTTGCACATATTTTTCCGCAATCTTAAAAAAACTTTTAAATCATGTTATGACTAAACCATTTATAAAGTTTTTAATTTTGAATTTATTTTTAAAGGATATAACTAAACACATATCAAATCCATTTAGACCAATAAGATCTGTTAAGTGGTTGCATGATGCTAGTGAACTCTCTACTTCCTGCAAAAAATGGAATGATATTAAAAAACGTTGGTTGTTTATAATATGTCCTCCTGACATGAATTTTCTATTAATATTTAAGTCTATTAAATAACACTTAACCAGAATCACAAGTGTTTTAAAGTTAATATAAGTCAACCTTCGCACTTTGGCCCGAAAAAGTAGACACATTGCCATATAAAAGAAATTTCTTGATGTATGCTGGAGTTGCCCTTATTCTGTATCAACTATGGTACCGTTTTAATAAAGAGTACAATGTCTACAATATCTATAACAGGTAGACACTTAACAAAAGGAGAATGTAGAGTAGATAAAACAGCTTTAATAAGCGTTGGCTGATGACAGTGAAGACAAGTTAAATTATTAGTTTTGTTTTTCGCCTTCTACTTATGATAGTAGTTGTTGGAGTCTCTATTAATCGGCTCATAAAGCATTGTTTTGTTAAAACAGCAATTATTTTGGGCAAGGCGAATTCTTTTAAATCAAGTATATCTATTTTAGAAACAAGAACAAATAATTTCATAAATTAATCAAGATATAATCAAGATACAATTTGTATCGGAGATGTAATATTAATTGATATAGTTCGTTTCTTTTAACTACAAACAGTAATCAGAAGCATTTGTAAAGTCTTTTTTTCTTTTTTTAAGTTTTAACATTTTTAAATCATTTTTGATACAATTGAAGACAATTATAGAATTTTTAGATGATCATTCCAATATAAAAAAGTAATTATTTAATATACTGTGTAAGTCCTTTCCATTTTTTATTAACGCAAAATTTTATAGAATTATATTTCATGCTAGTACTATAATTTGGTTTATAAATATTTATATAATAAATGTTTTAAATATTCTTTATAAAATTGTTGCAACTTAAAAAGTTCTCAACTTAAATTGATATTTGAAAAATTATTATAATAGAAATCAAATTGTGAATAAATATAAATCATGAAATCTATAAAAACAAATTTATTATTTTTATTTATGGAATTAGTTAATAAGAAATTTGTTAAAAAAATGTACAAATTAAATTTCGAACAATTTTCTATTATTTCATAATCATTATGTAAATGATTCCTCATAATATTTTGTATAACTTCTCAGAAAAGATTTCACTTTTTTTTTAAATTTATATCCAGACAAAATTTTTTTTTAAAAATATTTAAAAAAAAATTAAATAATAATTTTAAAATTCACTTTATTTTGTATTTTAAAGAAAATTAACTGTATTCTTCTCTCCAATATTAAACAAAATCACATAGTTCCTTTATTAAATATTTTCAACAAAATTATTTTTAATTTTTTTAAAAATTAATTTAAAATTACACCATAATTTAGTTAAAAACTTGATTTTATTCGAAAATTTTTTTAAATCACAAAAATATTTTTTTTTTTAAACTATTACTCCATTTATAATAAAATAAAATTCACGTAATATATATTTTAGTAATTTATTCCATCTTATTTAAGGAAGGATCTACCTTTCTTCGTCGAGAGTGCAGCACCGTCTAAGTAAAAGTATCTCAAATAGCTTTTCTTTATATGTTGCATTTAAAAAAAAGAACTTTCCGAAATTAAATAATTTAAAATGACGATAATCGCAAAAAAAAAACAAAAAAAAAATAAATTTCTTTATCAATACAATTGATTACATCACGAACACTTTTTAATGTCGTAAATTTATGTTCATAGAAACTAAAATAAATCTCACACTTTTTTCAAGTTCTTAAAAAGCTTACCTTTTTTTTCAAGTTTAATGTACGAACGAATAAGATTTTCAAGTGTTTACTATAAACACTTTTCCGGCACAACAACACAAAAACTTATCAATTCTCGAACCACAAAAAATCTGATTAAACACTCTTCGAAAGACAAGAACACACGGTTTCAGCTAACTGGTTTCAACCCGCACAGCTACAGCTTTAATGAAAGCTCAGAAAAGACATAAATTCTACACCAAATGTCCGGCCTTTTATACAGTTTGCTCTCTCGAGTGGTGAATAACTTATACCGTGGTCAAAAGTGAAGTTGTGCTCTTCATTTACTCTTCATATTATTCTTAAGAAGTATATGAGTGTAAATGATAATGTGCGAGGAATGTCTAGTTTAACAACTTCGTATTCATAATGGCATTCACACGCTATTATGGTAATCCTTATTAAAACTACTAAATATATATAAATATATAGATAAGCTTTAAAGTTAAAGAAAAAATAATAAATAAAAATTAGTGTACTTATTTTATCTTTAAAACAACGTTGGTTTCTAAAAGCTAGTAAATAATTTTCAAGAAAATATAAATACTTATTTATACTTATTAATATTTTTTTAAGTAAATCTGTTTTTAGTGTTTTTGCTATACTTCAGTAAGCTAATTTCTTATATACTTTTGTTTTAATTAAATTTATGTTATTGTTATTATCATTTATTATTTCGACTTATTGCTCTATAAAAGATCTAAAGTTATTTCCGTTTCATTTAATATATTTTAATTAATTTTAATTATTATTATTATTATTATTATTATGATATATTATGTTCTAGTAATTATTATTTATTAAATATATTTCAAGATATAATAATTAATGTTTTAATAAAATTTTTTATATATTCTCCGATATAGCAATAATCAAACTTGAGTTCTTTTATTATTATTATTATGTTAAGCCTTTTTCGAGTTAGAGCATCTGGGCAGAGCCCCGGCCATCTCACAGACTAATTTGAGTATTTTTCATAATCTTCATTATTATTCAATGATTGATCTAAGATTTGCGTACCGCCCCGTGCGGTTAGTGATTATTCTGAGATTAGATAGTTAAGTAGGTAGGGCAGCTAAGTAGGGCAGCCTATCGGTTTTCACATATAGCTTCAGAGCTAGCGTCCCTTATCACCTCTTAAAGACCAAAAAGTAAATTAGCTGTCATCCCTCGTATAAATATGAGTGGAGGTATTATAAGTTTCGTTGAGTGCAAAAGTGTAAAGCGCAACAAAAAGGCGTGAATCACGTGTAGTTATAATACTAAATCCTTACAATTCCCAAAGAACTTTTATTAGAAAACTATAAATTTTACCCTTAATACCTTTGAAAAAAGTTTAAAATTTGTAAAACTGTAGGATTGATCCATATAACAGTTTTATACATACTATGATCTCAAAAAATGCACAATTAAGAGCAGTAACTCTTCATAATATAACACATACCACCTATAGTCAGTAATGTAGACACAATCATTACATATTATTTTACATACATTATAATAATATGAAGTTAACTATTTTATATATATAATACAACATAGGTTTTGAAGATTTTATTTGAGGAAAAAAATTTAGAACAAAAGACTTGTCTAGTGTATAGTAAAAACTAAATATATTTGATTACTTTCAGCTGGAAAACATATTACATTTCATGTTATATTATTATAATAAATATTAAATATTATGTTATATTTTGTCATCAAGTTTCTAACAAGATATTATCAACAAAGTGGTTCAATGACAATTGACAACTTGACCACAGGTTCAACTGGTTGGATATATCATATTAAATCAATTAAACCTAAGTGTGTTGTTTTCCTAATACGAAAAGCCAACGTTCACACGTTCTTATATATTTATGTGCTTACTCGTTAGTAGGATCTTAAGTAATTTAGTACAAGTATATCGGTTTCCAAATACAAGGATCTGACAATCACATATGCGTTCCTTTGAACTTATAATAAATGAGAATATAGGCTTGTACTATATTTTCTACTAAACTGATGTGATCAGCATTTGAATGCAAAACATATTTTCTACTCTTTTCTCTTACTTACTCTTAAGCTGTAAATTCTAAGAATTATGGTGAATACTATTTGCAGTTGTGGTGAAATTTTACTCTGCTGAGGAAATAAGGTGAATAAAAAAGCCTACGCAGGACAGGAAATACGTGATGTTGCAAAATTTTATATACTTAATATTATAAATATTAGTTCATATTTTTTAAAGTATAAATAATTTTTAATAATTAAGAATTGATGCTATGTTAAAAAAATTTCCTAATTTCGGGACATTGACTTAATTAGTTTTTGAAGGACATTCAATAAAAGGATATTTTGTCCTTTGTACACAATTACATTGAATTTATATAATGAAATTTGTTTTAATTGTTTAATTTGATATAATTTAAATATAGTTTTGTATATTAAAATACTTAAAACAATAAATATACGAGCATGAATAAAATATTTATAATGGGCGTAGGCCAATTTGCTTGATGACGAAATACCACATAAATCTGTGCTTATCAATAGAAATTCTTATTTATTATTTTATTTAAAATGCGTAAAATATTTTTAGACAAAAATAAACCAAATTTGTTGAATATGCAATTAATTTTTTTTTACAATGAAAAGATTTCAGGCTAATAGTTTTTTTTTGTTTTGTTAAGTAAATATTTAATTGCTTCTAAATTAAAGATCGCTCTTATTCGTGAATTTAGACGTTATATCTACTCGTATCTATTTACCTTCTTCAAAATAAATAGTTCAATATTTATAATTTAATGGTAATTGATTTGCTTAACGATATATGTAATTTAAACAATACTTTAATTTGCCGAGTAAATAAGAATTTAATATGTTTGTCAAAGTGGAACACTAAATTAAATTAAAATCGAAGCATCTTATAGTACCTTAAAGAAGTAAAAGTTTAACAGTTGACTTTAAAAATATTTTTGGAAACGAATTGGAATCTTCAATACAATAATTCAAAAATAATAATTTTTTACTAGTCATTTGTCCTGTCAAGTGGTGGTAGTTAATTTCAGTACAGTAAGGTAACGCAAACCGACACACCCAGGTTAAATTGGTTTGATGTGATACTACATCAAACCGGTACGACTCCTATTCAAATAATCAAATCCCACTGAGCCATTTTACTGATGACACATTGTTTGAAACTTTTTGCCATGACGTAGGATATTTTCCAGCTGATAGTAATCTTCATTACTATCAGTCATTATTTTTTTGCTATGCACAGGAACAGAGAAATTGTTCGATGGGGTATACATATCAGATAGTATATCTTAGTTAAAAAAATTTGTCTTAAGTTTTTATCACTAACTTTCATAGTGTTTTGCTAAGTTTATAGCAATATCTCAGCGATATATGATATATGATATATTGCCACATAATTAGACAATACCTTCTTCAACAATTAAAACAATTTTTGGATATAAGTTTTATACCCAGTAATATCCAAAAATATTTCTTGGGTAATACTTACTTCAATAGTGAAATAAATTTTGTTGTATAGGTTGTATGTTCAGTAAATACCATTCCGCGTGAAGTTCTGTAAAAAGCGTTTGCCTCTGATTTAATGAGCTATTCCACAAGACTGTCTTTCGCTTTGGGTAATGACTATTTCAACAATCTAAACAATTTTGCGGTAAAGGTAGTATGTCCGGTAATATCCAAGATTACTTTTACGTGATATCCCAGATAACTTTTGCCGTTGATTCACTTGATTATTCCACAAGATCATCTATAGAGAAGCACCTAAGAAAGCCAGATTTGGAAGAATTATACTGGCTCTCTACTTCCACTGGGGAAAGTAGACAATAATAGTATCTCACAAGATTGTCTTTCACCATAAGGCTTACCTTGATATAATTTTCCAAATCGTAGATAAATTCTCCTTTTATACTATATTTTATTGGCTTGTTTGGTATGTATGGAGTGAAACGACTATGGCCTCAAAAAGGCAACAATTATTCAGTAATAGTCACCGATTTATAAGGCATATCTATTCTTTCCAAAATTAGTGTTTATCATTACTTATAGCAAGATTCCTTGTAATTTTCACTTATCTTTATCTTAACTTTACGCTAATTTACGTTTTATTATTACAGAGTCTTTAAAATAGAAAATCCATCAAAAAGATCTCTTTATTGTGTATAGTATTTATTGTTAAACCATACAACTAAGTATGGATTATGTATTGTATATTATTGTACAGTCTATAGTATGCTTAGATCCACATTTTATATAGAGTTTATATTTTTTTTGTGAAAGTAGTTTGAACTGAACTTGTTCTGCAAAAAATAGAAATGAAAAAAATAGTAAAATTAATATGTGTATTAAATTTATAGATAATGAATCATAATAATTATATACATGTATATGTCTGCAATATTGTCCTTTACTTTATCTTTTTACAAGCTCTGTCGCAAAAATGTAGACTAATTAAAAAAAAATACAAATAAACATCTATTGATCTACTCAATATTACATCAATAAAAAAGGGTCAACTCCATTACATTGAATGACTACCTCATATTGTGCTTTTAGCCATACTATAATGTAATATAAGGGGTATAATGGTATACCATGGTATAGAAGCGAGGTTGACTCATGAACAACCGATATTTCGAATTTAAGATTATTAACTGTGTATATTGAGAAACACTGTGAAAAAAGCTTTGATATAAGCTGTGTTGTAAAAGCTAAGAATAATGATAGGTCCTACTTAAAACTCTATTTTTTATAAATCAATAGAACAATATTTTAGAAAAGTTTAAAATATAGTTACTGTCTTCATTTATGACGTTGCAATGGTTAAGTAAAAAGAAAGAAGCATTTTAAACTAAAGATATATATATTTACAAAAGTAGGTGTAATAGACATAAAACTGCTGCTAATGAAATCTATATTAGAAAGATCATGCAATCATATACTTATAGTTTGTTTATATGGGTTTTAAAAACAATCACAATATTGTTAATTTTATAATTGTAAGGAATTTATAAGTATGCTACAATATTAAGATCTCATGTGAGAAGTAGTTAATAAAAAATGAAATCCCTAAATATAGTCACTACTGATGTAATCTATATTGAACGTGGTCTTATTCAAAATTTCATCATCACGCGTAGTGTATATCTATATTGTCTATATTATTT